CCCCCCCCCCTTTGAGGAGAATGCTAGAAAGAAAGAAAAATGGAGGTTGGCTTTGACACTTCCTATCACCTCCCAGAAGTGTTGACAACAGCTCCCATCATCCCTGCCCCCCTCCTGTGTTACAGATGGATTTCTCCTCCTTCTATAGGAGTATGCAAGGAGTTTCCATCTATAGTAGTATGCCATCTACAGGAGTATACTCCATCTTGAGGATGCTATGAAGGGGGGGAAATGAGGTTGGCTTTGACACTTTCCCCCACCTCGCAGGGGCCCGGGGATGATGGAAGGTGTCATCCAACACCTCTGCGAGGTGGGGGAAAGTATCAAAGCCAACCTCATTTTTCCCCTTCCTAGCATGCTCCTCAAGGAAAAAATAAAGAGTGAGATCAATCTATATCCCAGGAGGGGGCTGTGGATGATGGAAGCTCTTGTCCAACACCTCCAGGAGGATGATGGGAGTTGTCACTCAGCACCTCTGGAGGGCAGCCAGGTTGGGAAAAGCTATTACACAGCATGTTGGGAGAAGGTCTCATTTATTCCACCCATCCACCCCAGCAATGGCAGGTTGGAAGTGAAGTGAGCACATCCTTGCCAAGAATCTGGGCATTCGTGGTCCCCCACCCCATTGCCGTTCAAGAGGGCAGGACTAATGGTGCCCCCTTGTAGAGCAACTTTGACCACCAGCCCCTTTAAATTCTACAAAAATCAATGTAATCCATCTAAGGCTGAACTGAGGAAGGAATCCAGCCAGTGGAGAGAGGGGTGGTCATGGAGGATAGGACCCCTCTGGTTGTGTGTGTGTGAATATATATGTTTACACTGTACGTACATTAAATATCTACACTGTACGTACATTAAATATATACATTGTACATTGTACAATATATACATTCAGTGTACATACAATGTGTATGCAGATATTCACACCCACACACCCACACACACACCCCCACACACAGGGGTCCTTCATGACCACCCCTTTTGTGCCAATGTGATACATTGAATGTATACAATACATAGACCTAGACACACACACACAAAGGGGGAAAATGTATTCTTCTTACCGTTATTGTACCATAATGTTATATTTATTGTTGTTGCATGCCTTCAAGTCGCTTCCGATTACAATGTTGTTAATTATTTATATTATTTTTGTGTTCTATTATATTATCATTTTCTAGACATCTCTCTCTATAGAGATGGTTTTTCCTTTTCTTTTTCCCCCTTGCACAGGGTGCATTGTTGGAGAGGGGTGGAATTTCTTTTCTTAAAAAGCCAGCAAAAGTGAGAACCATAAAATTACCTTCTGGAGAAAGGCCATGGCTAGGAAGGGGGGCTGGATGGAGGTTATGGGGCTCAGCTTTGCCCCTGGCAGGGAAGATGCAAGGTTGGTTCATTGGGACCCTTCCCTTGCCAGGCTGGACCTGATGGAGTGGCTGTATGTGACCCATCAATAATTCAAGGAAAAGCAAGCTGTTGTTCTTGTGGGTGGGGCAGAACTATATTTTTTAAAGACTCAGCTAGGAAACCTACCATCTTTCAGCTCGATCTGTGTTGGTGGAGGTGGACTTCATTCTGTTCATATGATGCTAGAGCTTAGCTTTGTAATGTACCAATATAATCCTAAAAGTGGTGGTGGTGTGTACCTTCAAGTCGTTTCCGACTTATGGCAACCCTAAGTCGAGCCTATCATGGGGTTTTCTTGGCAAATTTCTTCAGAGGGGGTATGCTGTTGCCATCCTCTGAGGCTGAGAGAGTGTGACTTGCCCAAGATCACCCAGTGGGTTTCATGGCTGAGCTGGAAATTGAACCCTGATCTCCAGGGTTGGAGTCCAATGGGCAAATAACTACGCCATGCTGACTCTAACCCTAAAAATACTTCTGAGCATACTTAAGGGTGCATCCTTCCATGTAGCTTTTGTTTTCTTGCAGGAGGGAGGTACTATTTTTAAAAAATCCCACACTTCTTGTGTAGTTGTACAGTCCCTCCTTCTCATTTGATGTCCACAACGGCCCTGCTAGGTTGCACTGTTGGGTGGGAAATTGTGAGTGGCTAAAAGTCATCTCCAATGTGCTTCATGGTTGCATGCACCCAGGTTTCGGGGGTCCTTGTCTGATACGCTAACCACTACACCATACTCTTCTGGTGTTGTTACACAGCAACCATGTATGTTTAGGATGCCTGTTGTTGTTGCATGTCATTTCCAATTTATGGCGACCTGAAGGTGAACCTATCATGAGGTTTTCTTGGCAAGATTTGTTTAGAGGGGTTTTTTTGCCTTTGCCTTCCTCTGAGGCTGAGAGAGTGTGACTTGCCCAAGGTCACCCAGTGGGTTTCATGGCTGAGCTGAGAATCGAACCCTTGTCTCCAGAATCATAGTCGAACACTCAAACCACTACACCACACTGGGTTAGGATGCAGGGATTCAGAATTCCCAGGCTGGACTAAAACCTTGATATTTCTTTTTATAGAAACTAAAGCCAAGGTAAAGAAGTTGTGGATGGAATCAAGTATCCATCACTTCCAGCAACCCCAGCAACATGGCCAAGGGTGAGGGATTGTGGGAACTGTAGTCCAACAACTCCAGTCCCCTGCAGCCCAGGCAAACA